TAGTTAATATTTCTCTTGAACAACTTTTTGAAAACTTTTCTTAGGATATAATTTTCAAAAGGAAGATTACTATATAAAAGAAAAATATTTAATGACAAATCAGGTCTTTCCTGCCTTACCTAAATCAGATGTATTCTAGCCCTAGGATATTACCATTTATTTTGATACTGTAGTTTAAATTCTGTCAATGTCATTACAAAGAGCATATTTTTAGGAATTTGAATCTTTGGAAATTGTTATGGATATATGTTATAAGCAGCAGCTTTATTTTTCATCTATCATAGGTAGAAGTAAAATCTGGAGAAGAAGATGAAGAAATTTTATTTAAAGAGAGAGCCAAACTTTATAGATGGGATCGAGATGTCAGTCAGTGGAAGGAGCGTGGTGTTGGAGATATTAAGATTCTTTGGCATACACTGAAGAATTACTATCGTATCTTAATGAGAAGAGACCAAGTCTTTAAAGTGTGTGCAAACCATGTAATTACCAAAACAATGGAATTGAAGCCCTTAAATGTTTCGAACAATGCTTTAGTTTGGACTGCCTCGGATTATGCTGGTACATTCAAATGCTACTTTTCAGTTTTTGGGCTTTGTTTCTAAAATCTATAACAAATACAACAGTTATTTCGATACTGAGGTCATTGTACTGTGTTGTTGTTGTTGTTTAATAGATGGAGAAGCCAAAGTGGAACAGCTTGCAGTGAGATTTAAAACTAAAGAAATGGCTGATTGTTTTAAGAAAAAATTTGAAGAATGTCAACAGAACTTATTGAAACTCCAGAAAGAACAGGTATCAGTGACAGCAGAATTATCAAAGGAGACAAATCCCGTGGTGTTCTTTGATGTATGTGCAGATGATGAACCTCTAGGACGTATAACCATGGAATTATTTTCAAACATTGTTCCTCAAACTGCTGAGAACTTTAGAGTGCTATGCACTGGAGAGAAGGGTTTTGGTTTCAAGAACTCCATTTTTCACAGAGTAATTCCAGATTTCATTTGCCAAGTAAGTATTGACTATGTATCACAACTGAAGCCTAGAAAAGTACACCACACTAACTGGGGAATTTGAGTGTTTCTTCTCACTTGTAATTTTCTTAAGATTTCTTTAGCTTTTCCACACATTAGTTGGTATTGCCACCCCAGCACTCTACCCCCGCAAAAACTTTCAACATAAAGTGGTTGAAATTTCTAATACTTTAAACCTGCTATTAAATTGAGGGTGGGAAAAAGACTTGTTGGCATTTTCATCTTCTTTCAAAATGGATATTTCTTAGTTTTCAAACTATATTTCTCAAGCAATCTGGTGTTTAGGACTTACCCTTTAGTGGTTAAGTTAGTCCTGTGTGTATTTTAATATTTTATTCAGGATGCCTATTAATCAAAAAATTTTTTCAGGGTGGAGATATCACCAAACATGATGGAACAGGAGGACGGTCCATTTATGGAGATAAATTTGAAGATGAAAATTTTCATGTGAAACATACTGGTCCTGGCTTACTATCAATGGCTAATCGAGGCCAACATACCAATAATTCTCAATTTTTTATAACACTGAAAAAAGCAGAACATTTGGACTTTAAGCATGTAGTATTTGGATTTGTTAAAGATGGCATGGATACTGTGAAAAAGATTGAATCATTTGGTTCTCCTAAAGGATCTGTTAGTCGAAGAATTATTATCATAGAATGTGGACAGATATAAAATCATTGTTTTTCTTAGTAAATTTTACCTGTATAAACAATTGAATTGAAGCTTAGCTATTACGACAGTATGGTAATTATGTTCAGCTTTTGAAAATGGAGGTTTCCAAAGTATAAATGTAAAATTGCAGCTTATAGCTGTTGTTACTTTTTAATGTGTTATAATTGACCTTGCATGGTGTGAAATAAAAGTTTAAACACTGGTTTATTTCAGGTGTACTTGTGTTTATGTACTCCTGACCTATCTGTAGTAAAATGGAATAATACTAATCTTGTTAAAAGCAATAGATCTTCTCATACCATTGAAAGAATATTATATAAACAATAATTCATTTGAAGATATCAGACTTAATGCATGGATATACTTACCATTTGAATAAAGGGACCAAAACTTGGATAATTTTTATTTTAGATTTCAAAATAATATTTGGTAATTTTAACTATCAGTGTGGTCAATTATGTATAGAGACTCATTTATGAATGGGGTAGAGCCCATATGGTAGAGACTTAACCAAAGTGCTCTTCTATAATCCTTGCACCTCCTGTATAGTTAACTTCTAAGTAGAGTATCTTTTCTTAAAATGATATGTAGCTTCTTATGCCCTTTCAAAGGTATTAAGTTAACTTTTACATTTTAAACAAGTTGAGTATTTCCTTAGATTTTAAAAAAATTTTCTGTCATCTGTTTCTACTACCTCAAACTGCAGCTTGGTTCTTAATAGAACTTGCATATTTCCTTACAGTTATTGTGATAAAGTATGACTATTTTAAAAAGGTCTATACCATGTTCTTTGGTTAAAGATTTGCTTTATACTAGATTGTTGCAGTACTTTTTTCTGGTGAATTTTGTAGCAAAAATAAAGTGACAATTGTTAACAGCCATGCCATTTTAAAAATTTATTACTTGTGCATCTAATTGTTTGCTCATTCTAGAACCAAAGTGAGGAGAATAATTAAAGGTCTGTAAACAGCTTTGCCACATAATTTCCAGAGTTCCCAAGGAAGTGACTTATTTCAAGTTTGATATACACTGAAAACTTACTTGGAAATGGCTAGTGTCAAAAGTTAGACTGCTAAAAAGGGGGATGTTCTCATCAACCCGCTCAATATAGAACTACAAAGAAGCTAGTTAGAGCACAAAATCTTAAGTAGTTTCGTCATTCCAATCACTAAGAGTGGCTGCCTTGACCCTCCTGTGTTCTTCCCAGTGAACTCGTATTTAGTAAAGGATAGTTGGGTTTATTCTGTTGTTTAATGATTTGGAAATAGTCTATCCTGTAGTAAGTACTTGTTCTGTTCTACCTCCAGTTGAGAAGGGTGGCATGTGTGGTTTGTGTGAGTAATGAAGGATGGAATACCATCACTAAACCCACTTGGCCATAAAGCCAGGTAACTGAAATAAACCTACTCCAGTGTATCAGAGAACTTTATGAACTTTAAAGAGAACAATGGACTACATGCATGTACATTTATTTAACAGTAAGAATTGGCTCCTTTGGAAACTTAAGTAGTATAAGTTGCTGTAAAGTGTGTTGAATTTTTCAGCTGGGACAGCTAATACCTTTGTCCTAATTTTAGAACATCCAAGTAAAGGCAAGTGCTTATTTATTTACTTATTTAAAGATTTTCTTTAGTTTTAGAGGGAAAAGCAGGGAGAAAGAGGGAAAAAAGCATCAATGTGAGGTTGCCTCTTGTGACTCTGCTACTGGGAACCTTGTGGAAACCTAGGTGTGTGTCCTGACTGGAAATCGAACCTGTCACCCTTTGGTTCACAGGTTGGTTACTCAATCCACTGATCCACACCAGCAGGGGTACCTCTTTTTTTTTTTTTTTAAAGAAATCAGCGCTATCCTAAAGCACTTCAATTTTGAATTAAAGAAATTTAAAAACACACCTTGATCAAAAATTTCATTAAAAATGACTAGCAAACTGCCTTTTCCAGTATTGATATTCCAAAAATGCTTAAAAGTGCCTCGAGGCATTTTTAAGAAAGACTGTCATAATTCAGGAAACGGCTTTGTGATTTCTCTGTTACTTAACTGCTGATGTGACATAAATGTACATGTTAATGTCTTTTTAGAAAAATGTGTGATTTTTATATTGGCTCAAATTCTGCTTAAAGATAGAATATAAAGAAACTCATTTGTATATTATAATACTTTATAGCAAAATAATATTGGTTTAAATATATTTCAGGAAACTAGTTAAAATACTGATCTTATAAAAAATATTTGGCATTTGAGGAAATTTAAATATAATGCAGACTGTAGTAATTGTTAGTCTGGACATACTGGTGAATACTATTTAGAGTGGTAAAGCATTATACTAGTGTCATTGTTGTATAAATGAGAGAAATTAAGTGGTTATTTACTTGTTCAACTTAGTCTCTGAATTAGGTTGACATACTGTGACAATGACATGCACTGTCCTGGGCATTGAAGAAAGTTATTTTTTAAAAAATCATGCTCAGGAAGCTTACTTACACTCTAATACTGCTTGTTAACACCCTGTGTCTCCACAGGAAACACCAGCGAATGGCAGGAAGGTGAAGAGGTAGTTTTTGAAATCGCTGTGCTTTGTAGTAAGATAAATTCTTGATTTTGCCCCTCTTTAATGTTACAGTTAGCAAAAGCCACTCTGTTTATGTCTAAAGCACACTAAATATATACATGCTTCAGGCCCTGGCCGGGTAGGTCAGTTGTTGCAGCAACCTTCCTACATCAAAAAGTTTACAGTTCGATTCTGGTCAGGACACATGCCTAGGTTGCATTTAGTGGGGTTGCTAGAGAGGCAACCCATCCATATTTCACATACCAATGTTTCATCCTTTCTCCCCTTTCTAGAATTAATGAGCATGTCCTCCAGCGAGAACAGTAATATACTTAACGTTAGACATGGCCCAGGTCAGGGTAGGATCCTACCAGTCAGGTTAAGACTATTCTGGTGTGCCCCAGTGTTGTATGCATTGCCATGTACTCGTGAGACTTGCGGAGATACAGGACCCTGGCCCTGGAACCCTGAAGCTCGAATTAGGGGCCGCACCAGGTCTGCTGAGTGCAACCTAAGTTAGGGCACGGCAGACGAAAATGGACTGAAAAGATTAAACACCATTTATCACTCTAAGTAACACATCAATAAAGAAAACAGTAAGTGAACATAACACACATAACACTAAGACGTTTTCAACATACACAACACCTCAGACTCCCGTCTCCTAACGCGAGAACCAGGCTGTGTCCTGCTTCGTGACGCACTTCCGCTGTGCGAGCTCTGCGCCTGCGCGTACGGCCTCAGTTTTGGACGCTGTTCCCGGGGAGACAACGGTAGCTTCACACGATGGAGCCAAGGCTTGTCAAACCACCTGGACAGGATTTCGCTGTGGAGCGTCTCAAAAGCCGCTACGGATTAGGGGGCTGCTGCTCAGCGGAGGTGAGGCCTCGGAAGTCCTCCTCCGCCCAGTTTCCGGGTCGGTGGGCGGGTTCCTGCTAGCGGGAAATAGCCTGGCACCTGCTCGCCTGGGCCTTCAGCATAAAAATGGTCCAATGAAAGTTAGACCGAGGGGAGAGTATTGCTCGACCGCAGATATGTTAATGGGTGGCAGGTAATGTCACATACATGGGAAAGCAAGTTTTCTAACAGGTTTCTTCACCAAAGCTTTTGAAGGTTTATGTTCTACCAATTGTGGTATGTCACTGTGAAAGTATTTTTGAACTTTTGTCTATAGTGACTTCAATGGGGTTCAAAAAACATTTTAGTACCTTTAAAATACTTATTGTGAAATAATTTCAAACTTTGAAAAAGTTGCCAGAATAATACTCTTGTGCCCTTCACTTGTACTCATCATTGTTAAACATTTCGCCATATTAACTTTACTGTTCTCCCTGTTTTTGACTCCCTTTCCATATATACATTTTTTCCCCCGAAGTATTTGAGGGTAATTTGCAGGCATTGTGACTCTTTACTGTCAAATATAAATAAGTGTGTTTTCCTGGAAATAAGAACATTGTCTTATATAACCAGAGTAATAAATTCAGAACACTTTAACCATCGCTACAATACTATGTATTTCACATTCAAATGTTACCAATTATCTCAGTAATATCCCTTGTAAACACTTTTTTTTTCTGGTGCAGATATAATCTAAAAATGAGCATTGCATTTGGTTTTCTCTTCTACTATTGCCTTTAATTTGGAATGGGTTCTGTGTGTAGGACAATTATTTATTAGAATGTCACGCAGTTTGGATTTGTGTAATGATACCTCATGATTAGTTACTGGTTATACATTTTTGGCAGGAATACTGCATGAATAATGAGTGGCTTGCTGTGCTCATCACGACACACATGTTGTTTTGTCCCATTGTTGGTGATGTTACCTTTGGTTAAGGGGGTGCCTTACTTGGTTAAGGGGGTGCCTACCAGATTTCTTTACTGGTCAGATTAAAGGCTAACCTTTGTAATACATGCATAATTTGTAGAGAACTGTTTTGTGACAGTAAGTTGATTTTTAGTATACACATTAGATGTTATCTTTTTTCTTTTTTAGCATGCTTTTTCGGATTTTGATCAGGCTAAATGTAAGAGATCTCTAACCTCCCCAGGTAAGCCGATAGAGGATTTTGTGTATTTGGGGTTTTAACAAATTTAATTTGAGAGAAAGGACTTTTTAAATAAAGTTTAGACATAATAGATATTGCCAGATGTCTTGTGATAATAGGCTCTTTTCAGTTTTGTAATGAGCTAATAGTAATCTTGATTTGGGGGTGAATGTGTAAGCTGTCTTTAAAAATCATGTTGAAATTTTTTTAAAAAGATTTTTGTTTCTAGAAAGGGGAAGGAAGGGAGAAAGAAAGGGAGAGAAACATCCATGTGAGAGAGAAACATCTATAGGTTGCCTCTCATATGCACCCCAACTGGGGACAGAACCCAAAACCCAGGTATGTGCCCTGACTAGCATTTGAACTGGTGACCTTCTGATTTGCAGGATGATGCCCAACCAACTGAGCCACACCACTCAGGGCTAACCTTTAGAGTTTTGATGTGTGGATATATCTTAGGCAGTGTTTTTACTAGTAAGTATAATGATTGAACTTGGAGGTAATTATAGCAGAAATAGTAGTTAATATCTTTAAAAGTTCATCAGATGTTGGATTAAGGAATTTCATTTTTTCAAACTTACTTTATTTTGAAATTTTGTAACATTCTTCAGAAAGTTTTCCAGTATGAAAAAAATATTCCAGTTATTATTGAGTCTAGTATCTTCAAAATAAAAGGTTGAATTTTAATTTTGAAAATTGCTCTAAAACTTCCTAGTGAACTGGAAAAGTTGGCATTTGTGCTACCAGTTACTACCTAAACCAATAAGTAGAGACAAGGATTGAATCTTTATGGGTTCTTTATTCAGATGCCAATGATCTGAGAAGGTAGGTATGTACCCTCAAAAACCATCTAACATCTTACCTAATACCAACCTTTTTATAGGGAGAAGGAAAAGGTAGGTAAGGGATTTTGGAAAAGGTTAATCAGATAAGAGTTGCAGTCTATCAGGATTTTCTTAGTATTTCTTTATCTGCTGATCAACAGTTCTTTTTCTGAGTCCGGGACATTCTCCCCCCTGGAACACAGTGATCTGGGTACCATCTTTATGGCTTGCAGACCACCAGGGGCACAAAGGCTGAATTGCTTGTGGACCACCTGCAGACATATAGGTCAGGTATTTCAGTTTCTGGAATAACAGTTTTCCACATGCATTTTTCACTTAAGCCTGTCAACTATGACTGAGTCTGAAATCTTTAACTCTTGAGTTCTTCCACAACCTTTAAAAATATAACTGAGAAGTATAGGTCATTAGATTTCTGAGGGTATAAAAATAAGTGTTAGAGAAGGGTGTGTACATTTAAAAGTATGTCTAACTTATCATAGAAGCTCTTTTTTCCTTTTTTTCACTGAATTTAGATATAGGCTAACAATTTATTAAATAAATCTTAGTGTTTAAAGTGTATAAAATTAAAAATAAAATGTTTAATATTTGAGGACTGATAAGGTATTATGAGGTAGAAAGAGGGCTTAATTCTGAATTTTATTCCTTCTAATTGCTGGTTGTGTTACTTGGAAAATTTAGACAACTTATTTAGTTCTTAGGTTCCAAACCATTAAAATAAAATGAAAAGCTTTCTTGCTTTGAAGGGTTGCTAGGATAAACTGAGGTAATGGATGAAAGAGCATTTTGTAATCAGGAAAGTGCCAAAGTAAAATACAAGATTTGATGCCTGTTTTCTTGAAGTTTGTATCAAGGAAAGAGAGAGGTAAGAAATCCTCAAAGTAATTTTGCTGTTTTATCTTTGGGATCTCATTGAGATCACTGGTATGAGATCATTAATATTTGATCCTACTAAGTTATCTCTGCTATTTTCTTTTTTTTCAACCGTTTTTCAATTCTCTCTCTTTTTAAAAGATTTTATTTATTCATTTTTAGAGAGGGAAGGGAGGGAGAAAGAGAGAAACATCAGTGTGCGGTTGCACAGTGTGCGGTGTGCAGGGCACCCAAGCATGTGCCCTGACTGGGAATTGAACCTGCAATGCTTTGGTTCGCAGCCCACGCTCCATCCACTGAGTTATGCCAGCCTGGGCAGCTATTTTCTTTATTGTTAACGGACAAGTTGGCTATCTACTCATCTGGAGATAAAATTATTTCCTCATTAAGATGGTATTCTGATAAAAGAAAGCATTCCACGATACCACCTTGTAGTTCATTGAAGCACTTCAACATGAACAAGTACCCTGAGTCCTTACTCTTGCTGCCCCTTCAGTATTTCAGAAAACTGAGAAAGGGCAAAGGATGGATAATTTATGTGTTTGCTTTTCCCTGAGAGGAAACATAAGCTGGAGACTGCTGAATAACGTGTATCTAGTAGTGTGGTAAGCAATTGATTTTAGATAGGTTGAGAAAGAGAGAGGAAAAAGAGAGACAGAGACAGAGAGAGACGGAGAGAGAGGGAGAGAGATGTATTGATTGAAGAAGTCAGTCTGGGGAGATGGTCACTACAAAATATGTATAATATAGTCCTGGGGTATGAGGGGTTTAGCAGTTTTGTGCAGGAGATTTTACCCTGGGTAGAACAGGTATAAAAACTAGAAGCTAAGGTGAAATAAAATTCCAAACTGAGTTTTATTAAATGCCAAAAATGTGTGACAGAAGGAACTGCTATGGGTATCAAGGAGGAGTAAATACTTTGAAATATATATCATAAAGATATGTATATATACAAAATAAAATGTTGAGATAATTCTGGAGAGGAAAAAAAAGACAATTGTACCTAAAATATCATATATTAAGGTAATTGATATTTGGCAGCTTGAATTTTTTTAATGTAATTGCTTGATTCTCTACTTAAATGAATCCATGTAAAGCATTTAGAACAGTATTCAGTACATAGAAAGCTATTAAATATGCTATTATCATCATTGTCATTACTATTTGGTACTCAAAGTAAGATGGTTGATCTGGATTCAAGATTTGTACATGAGGTAAATTGAATATAGAGTAAGGAAAGTGAAAATTGCCTTAATGTAACTGTGAGTAATTAGAAATTATTTGCTTATATTTAACAGATAATTTTATAATTTTTTGTTTCTGGGTATAATTTCAAATTACAATTTGAAGCTTTTGGACTATGAAGGTTTTTATAACATGGGACAGTTTTTTCACAACCCCTAGTTATGATCTAGTCTAGAATTATAGTACTGTCCAGCACAGGAGCCATTTGTGGCTGTTGAGTTATTGAAATAGGCTTATCTGAATTGAGGCATTGGGTTGGCCAAAAAGTTCATTTGTGTTTTTTCCGTAAGATGGCTCTAGCAGCTTTAGTTGTCTTTAACTCCATTTGAAACAATTTTTTTTAGGTTGTATGGTGACAGCTGTCATATCAGCGTACATTTAAAATAAAGCTTATCAAAATTGGTGAGTTTTTGTATAACCATTTTAATATTGGAGATGGAAGAAGATAAGCAACATTTTTGGCTCATTATGCTTTATTATTTCAAGAAAGGTAAAAACCCAACTGATGCCAAAAAGGATTTCTATAGTGTATGGAGAAGGTGCTGTGACTGATCAAATGCATCAAAAGTGGTTTCTGACAGTTCATGCTGGAGATTTCTTGCTGGACAATGCTCCATAGTCAGACCAGTTGAAGTTGATAGTGAACAAATCAAGACATGTCCAAATCAATAAAATTATTGGTGAAAATGAAAAATATGTCTTTTATTGTATGGAAAAAACCATATCAACTTTTTGGCCAACCCAATATGTTGGAAGTCTAAAATACATATCAGATTGAAGGAGATGAGTTAAAGAATTTAAAATATCTTAATTTTTAAACATTGATTACATATTAAAATGATAATCTTTTAGATATACTAGGTTAAAAATACCATAGTTAAAATTGCACATCTTTTTATATTTTTAATATGATTAATGTGGCTACCAGAAAAATTTAAATTACCTTATGTGACATGCACTATATTCCTTTTGAACAGTATTGCTTGAGAAATTTCAATTTGAGATAATCTTTTTGTTGAGAACACTTTGGAGTCTAGTTCTCCTCCACCTTTTACTAGTTATTTAAATGCTTTAGGGTTTAGTTTTCTCATGTTAAACAATACTTCTTTTAGCTAAAATGATAGATATAACAGATACTATTATATCTGTCACACAGAAGTATTAGGAATTAAAGATTGACAGTAGTAAAGCATTCTAGAGGTAAATGCAGTTTTCAGCTAAGCACATTTATATATGTAGGAAAATAGTTGAGTTTTCAGTATCAGTGACTTACTTTTTAAAAAATATTTTTCCTTTCTGCATTTAAAAAAATGTTTACTTGTAACATTTGTCTTGATTGTGATGCCATTAATATTTAAAAAGCAGTTTTATCTTCTTAAAATGCTATAGTAAACTTCCAGAATGCTGTGATATATATATTTTTTAAAGCCTAGATGAACTGGATTCTTTTCATAATTTGAAGCAAAGGGAAACAAAAGAAGAGTTAATTGAAACTGGTCATAGAGTTAATAGCTTCAAAATAACCAAGCAATCTTTTAAAGAAATAGAAGGTAAAATAAGTATTCATTTTAGATTAGCCCTTTCAGTAGTAACTATGTGAGATAGTGCACATAAAGCTTACTCCATAGTAGTAAAACTTGTCCCTGAGGCATTTATATTTCTGTGTTCTGAATTTTTGTAAGCTATGAGATAGTTACTGTGCTTATTATTAAACTTAAGTAAAAGAAAAAAAAACCTTCATTATTTTCCAGTAGTATTCCTAAACTCTCAAAACTAATGAAAGTTAATCAATTAAATACTTATTATAATTTATTTCTTTTTCATGCCAGTATTTGTTAGGAAGTGAGTAAAATATTGTGGTGTAGTAATTGATGAATCTTTTAATATTTTAAGAAAATATTCCAGATTACTTAATGTATGCCTTCCTTCACATTGAACTAATAGTTAATATTTATGTGCCTGGCTGGATAGTTCTGTTAGGATTTCAAGGAAAGAGGCAATCAGAAATGGCACCCTCCTCTTTGGCTGCAGTATTTTGAGAGTACTTGATTACTTCTGTGCATCTCTTCTGGGATACAAAAATATAAAATAGAATAAAGCAGTGAAGGTAATTCTGGTATTAATAGAAAAAACATTATTTAAAGGAGAAGCCTATAGAAATTACATAATTTATATGATTATAAAATTATAGACACTGTATAAAGCTAGAAACAGTTTTAAAAAGGCCATTTATATAGGTAGTAAAAATTAAAAAGAAGTGAAGCAATGATCAGTACTATATTTGCATTAAGAGATAGGGAGGAATATATGATCAGTAGGTTCTGAGGTAACTATATTTCTTGGCCTAGGGACTTAACAAAAAGTTGCCAAAAGGGCACAAAGAACCTGGTGTAGCCTTCATCCAAATTTTCTAAATGTTACATTTTATTACCTTTGCTTTATCATTCTTTCTTTCTGCATACATTACTTGAAACTTTAACAATACAATTGTATAATTCAAATTTAAAATAGTTCTTCCTGAAGAGTTACCTGATCTGCAAATATTTAAAACTAATAAAGTTTATAAATAAAATTATATTTTCTTAGCAGTTGCCTGGCCATCTAATTTGGCCTCAAATTCAAGAAATTGGACTGAATGTTGTAGTGATGCAAGTTACTCTCCTTTGAAACATGTCAGCTCTCCAACATTTAAAGCACCAAATAAGCAGAGTTTACTTCCGCATCAGATCAATCAGATATATGATGAATTATTCCAAATTCATCAGAAACTGCAGGTAAGAACTAAATACTGGCTTGAGAATTCAGAAGTATTTATGTTCCAAACACCAACATTTGCAAAATTTAAATACTACAAGGCACTTCATTTTTATTGTTTTTGATAAGTGTGTCAAGACAAGGTCAGAAGGGAACCAACACAATTTATAAGAACAATTGGAGAGGAAAATGTATGGCTGAGAGAAAAATATAAACAGTGGTGTTTTTATATGTAGGGGTACTTTTTAAATTTCAGACTATCTTATGTTTTGTTTATTCTAGTTTCATCCAGTCCTTGTTTAAGAAATAAAATTTGCTGGTAAAGCATGCTTTTTGAAGTGGTTGTTCTAGATTTGTTGCTTTAAATATGTATATGTAAGCAGTTCTCTTGACAACTCTTACTAATATTCAGTTTAGAACACTGGCCTTTATCTTCAGGGGCTTTTTTTCTAAAGGAGGTAATTAATGAATTTATCAAGTGTCCACCAGATAGGAGTACAGAATGAATCAAAGTACATGTAATATATAATTTGTCTTGAAATTCTAGTTCAGAATATATTTTTATATACGTGGAGTAAACATTTTTTAACAATGAATATCTCATTTTGTCTAAATTCAGATAATAATTACCATAGCATTTAGAAAAGATTAGTTTAGCCTAAAATCACTGGGGAAAAGTTCAAGGAGATACTTAGCTTGGTATATGACTGAGATATAGAATTTAAAGAGAAGGGAGAGGATTGGGAAGGCCATTCCAGGTCCTTCCTTGGAAGGATTAGGGGTTTTTCCTTGGAATTGGAGGTTGGGGGTTTTTAGAAAAGAGTAATTTGTCAGATTGTGAATTTATTAGCCTGTCTGGGAAAGAAAATAGTGAATAGTGGTAGTATAGGTTCTTAAACAAAAGAGTGACAAAATAAAAATTTATTGCATTTGGAAGATTCCTTTGCTAATATATTATGGGATAAAAAAAGAATAAGCAGGGCTTTAAAGATATACCAGTGATCTTCAATAAACACAATAAAGGTATATTTAATTTAAAAAATAAAGGTATATTTTATTTATTCATCTATTTATTTGTTTTTTTTTGTTTTTTAAGTACACTTGTCTCCATTTTCCCCAACCATGCCACCCTGCCTAACCCATCCTTGCCTCCCATCCTCAAACCTACCCCCTTTAGTGTTGTCTATGTATCCTTTATACATGTTCCTCAATGGCCCTTCCTCTATTTTCCCCTTTGTCCCACTCCCCGCTCCCCTCTGATTACTGTCAGTTCTTTATTTCAGTATCTCTGGTTATATTTGGCTTGCTTTTTCATTTCGTTGATTAGGTTCCATTATAGGTGAGATCATATGGTATTTCTCTTTCACCACCTGGCTTATTTCGCTTAGCATAATGCTTTCCAGTTCCGTCCATGCTGTCGTGAGAGGTAGGAGCTCCTTCTTTCTTTCTGCTGCATAGAATTCCATTGTGTAAATGTTTTTTGATCCATTCATTTACTGATGGGCACTTAGGTTGCTTCTAGCACTTGGCTATTGTAAATTGTGCTGCTATGAACATTGTGGTGCATAGGTTCTTCTGAATTGGTGTTTCAGGATCCTTAGGGTATAATCCCCACAGTGGTATTGCTGGGTTAAAAGGCAGTTCCATTTTTAGTTTTCTGAGAAAATTCCATACTGTTTCCCATAGTGGCTGCATCAGTCTGCATTCCCAGCAACAGTGAACTAGGGTTCCCTTTTTTTCCACATCCTCTCCAACCCTTGTTTATTGATTTGTTTATCTCACCGATGTGAAGTGGTATCTCATTGTGGTTTTAATCTGCATCTCTCTGATGGCTAGTGATGCTGAGCATTATTTCATATGTCTTGGGGACCTCTGTATGTGCTCCTTGGAGAAGTGTCCATTTAGGTTCTTTGCCCATTTTTAAATTGGGTTGTTTGTGTTCCTTGAGTAGAGTCATGTGAGGTTTTTTGTTTTTGGCAAAAGATTTTATTTATTTACTTTTAGACAGAGGGGAAGGGTGAGAGAAAGAGAGGGAGAGAAACATCAACATGTGATTGCTTCTCGCATGCCCCCTACTGGGGACCTGGCTGACATGACCTCTGGCCTGCAGTGATTGCAGAACGCTGTGGATGGCTCGTGGAAACACAAGAAAAACATGCACAGAGACAACCAGGTCCTGTGGGGAAATAGGGACGGAATGGCCACTTTCTCTAGTGGAGAGTGCTTCGTTTTTTCACCCAAGCAGGTTTTTATTAAGAAAACAGACACAGTTTGTGGACTCACAGTCTGGCAGGAAAGATCAAAAGGAATAGGTAATTTTCAAAGGGACTGACAGAACTCCTGCTGTGATTCTGGGCAAAGTTTGGAGTTTTATCATTTGAAAGGACTACAGGGCTCAAAGGGCTAGTTTTGGTTTCCTGTCTGTGCCTTCAAATTCTCATTAACAACATCCTCCAGCAAACAGATCTCATAGGATTGTGCATATTCTATGTACCAGGCCTGATTACCTCCGGGGTCCGCCGACTCTGGTCTGGACTGTACTGCCCTGCTATTTCCGCAGGCCTGAGTCAGGCAGAGGAGACAAAGGCAGCCAGGAGACTTGGATTTTTCACATCTCAGAACAAGGGCTCAGGCTTTGACAAAGCCAAGGGGGCAGGGGTTGATGTCCATCACCCCTTCATTTCCACAGCCCCGAGTCTCTGCCCTGAGGCCTCCTCGTGATCATGCCTATCTTAGGCGATTCCCTCTGTGGGAAATCTTACCCGTCATTGGCTAACTGATCAAGCATAGGAGGCCAGGCACAGAATAGGCAAGTTCATGCCAGGGAAGTAAGTTTTGTCTCCTTAGTGGCTCCTGGTCTGGAGGTCTCTCACTCAGCCTAAGTCATGGGGGATTATAGCTTCCTGACACCAGGCAGGGCGGACCCCAACACCTGGCCTAAAATTCAGGCATGTGCTGTGACTGGGAATTGAACCAGTGACCCTTTGTTTTGCAGGCTGGTGCTCACTCCACTGAGCCACACGAGCCAGCTCTGTGAGGTCTTTATATATTTTGGAGATCAGACCTTTGTCCAAGGTATCATTGGCAAATATATTTACCCATATGGTTGGTCCCCTTTTCATTTTACTGTTGTTTTCCTTAGCCGTGCAGCAGCTTTTTATTTTGATGAGATCCCATTTGTTTATTCTTTCCTTCATGTCCCTTGCTTTAGGGGGCACATCAGTGACAATGTTGCTGCGTGGAATAACAGATTTTCCTATGTTCTTCTCTAGGACTTTTATGGTGTTATGACTTAATATTTAAGTCTTTTATCCACCTTGAATTTAATATTGTGTATGGTACAAGTTGGTGATCTAGTTTTTTTTTTTTTAACTTTTTAATAAAAGATTTTATTTATTTATTTTTAGGGAGAGGGAAGGGTGGGACAAAGAGAGGAAGAGAAACATCAATGTCTAGTTGCCTCTCGCACGCCCCCTAATGGGGACCTGTCCTGCAACCCAGGCATGTGCCCTGACTGGGAATTGAACCAGCTACGCATTGGTTTGCTGCCTGTGCTCAATGCACTGAGCTACACCAATCAGGGCTGAGTTGGTTTTTGTTTTTTGTTTTTTGTTTTTGGCATGTAGCTGTCCGGACCTACCAATACCATTTGTTGAAGGGGCTATTTTTACTCCATTTTATGCTGCTGCCCCTTTGTTGAATATTAACTGATCATAGAAACTTGGGTTTATTTCTGGGCTTTCTGTTCTGTTCCATTGATCTGTTTGTCTGCTTTTATGCCAGTAGCAGGCTGTTTTTATTACAGTGGCTTTGTAATACAGTTTGATATTAGATATTGTGGTCCTTCCAACTCTGTTCTTTCTCAAAATTGCTGTGGCTATTCAAGGTCACTTATGGTTCCATATAACTTTTTGAAATGTTTGTTCTATAACTCTGTCATTGATATTTTAATAGGGATTGCATTGAATCTATAAAATGTTCTGGGTAGTATGGACATGTTGATGATGTTAATTCTTCCAATCCATGAATTGATACATGCTTCCATTTATCTGGGTCTTCCTTAATTTCTTCTTCCAAGTTGTGTAGTTTTCTGAGTAGTACAGGTCTTTTGCCTTCTTGGTTAGGTTCATTTCTAGGTACTTTGTTTTTCTTGTTGCTATAGTACAAGGGATTTTTCCCCTAATTTCTGTTTCTGATATTTCATTGTCAGTGTACAAAAACACCTGCAATTTCTGAATATTGACTTTGTATCCCACTGTTTTGCCAAATTCACTTATTAGGTTGAGTAGTTTTTTTGGTGGAGTCTGTAGGATTTTCTGTGTACACTACCATGTCATCTGGAAACAATGACAGTTTTGCTTCCTCATTTCCAATATGGATGCCTTTTATTTATTTTTCTTATCTGATCTCTGTGGCTAGAACTTCCAATACTATGTTGAATACAAGTGGTGAAAGCAGATATCCATGTCTTGTTGCTGATCTTAGTGGGAAAGCTTTTAGATTTTGCCCATTGAGTATGATGTTGGCTGTAGGTTTCTGGTGTATGGTTTTTGTTATGTTGATGTATGCTCCCTTTACTCCCACTTTGCTATGTGTTTTTATCATAAATGGGTGCTGTACCAGAAAGATATATTTAATTTAAAAAAGAATGGCTGGTGTGGCTCAGTTGGTTGGAGCACTGCCCCATACACCAAAAGGTTGGGAGTTCAATTCCCAGTCAGGGCATACACCTAGGTTGCAAGTTCCATCCCTGGTTGGGGTGTATATGGAAGGCAGCTGATCGATATTGTCCCCTTTTCTCTCTTTGCCTCTCCCCCTTCTCCCTCCTCTTTCTTTCTGTGAAATCAATAAACATTTTTAAAAATGAGGTAAAAAGGATTAATCTGATTTAATTAATCTCTAGTTTAATCTGACTCTAAAAATTACTTTGTGGTCTTCTTTTGTGTTAGGTATCATTAAGTATATACATTTTGTAATACTGCATGATTTCATTTATTCAACACATATTTGAACACCTCTT